CTTCCAGTGAATCAGCACCTGGCGCACACCGCGCGCTAGGCGCGTCTTGACGGCGCGTTCTGGCTCCGGAATAACAGCACCATGGCGGACAGCAGGGAGCGGAGGTGGTGCATCCGGCGGTGAGCCATGGAACGGCTTGAGTAGCCCAACATGAAACACGTCGTGCAGACGGGCACGTGGCGGCAGAGCGAGGCGAACCGCGACGTCGTTGATGAGCTCGGTGACGCGGTAGGGCCCGTAGAAGCGCGGGCGCAGCTTGCCGGTGACGGACTGGGGCATAGAGGCCGTCGGTCGATGGCGTAGGCGGAGCAGCACCCAGTCCCCCACCTTGTACAGCACTTGGCGGTGGTTCTTGTCGTAGTGATGCTTCTGGACCAGCTGAGCTTGCTCCAGGCGGGCGCGGATGTCGGCGAGGAATTCATCCCGCGCTTCCAGGGACTGCGCGACAGCCGCCACCCTGGTCTCTCCCGGCGTGTAAGACCGGATGGATGGGGGATCCCGGCCGTAGACGACGCGGAACGGCGTATCCCGCAGCGACGACTGGTAGGCGGTGTTGAAGACGTACTCCGCCCATGGCAGCCACTGGAGCCACTGCCTCGGCCGGTCCCCAGTGAGGCATCGCAGGAACATGATGATGACGCGGTTGGCCGACTCGGACTGCCCGTCGGACTGGGGGTGAAAGGCTGTCGTCATGTGGAGCTGGGTGCCCACCAGCCGCATCAACTCGCGCCAGAAGGTGGAGGTGAAGACCGTGTCCCTGTCCGACACGATGGACTGTGGCACGCCGTGGAGACGAACGATCTCGGCGAAGAAGACTTGGGCGACCGACTCCGCGGAGTATGGGTGGGACAGCGGGATGAAGTGGCAGTACTTGCTGAACCTGTCCACCACCGTCAAGATGACGGACTTCCCCCGGACCCGAGGCAGCGCCTCCACAAAGTTGAGGGCGATGTCAGACCACACACCTTGGGGCACGGGCAGCGGAAGGAGGAGGCCTGCCGGATGGAGATGTTCCGACTTGTAGCGCTGACATGTAGGACACGCCCGCACCCAGTCCTGCACGAGCTGTTTCATGTTAGGGAAATGGAAATCTCGCCCTTAGCCGATGATGGCGGCGTTGAACACCTTCGTGTCCTTCGCGTGAACGGCTGCAGCAGCTTTCAAGGCGAAGGGCGAGGCCGGTGGGATGTACAGTAATGTCACCGAATGGACGAGCCCATCCACGGCCGCGCCATGGGGAGCTCTCGGAGCCCGCGGCGAAGCTCTTCTGGAGGGCGACGAGGGCGGTCGAGGCTCGTGCTCGGGCGGCTTGTCGATGAAGTCAAAATGTGGAGCCGATAAGCGCGGGATAGCGCGCCCTCCGTTGGTGTATCACGGCATGACAGCGCGTCGGCCACCGCATTCGCTGGCCCGGCTTATATTCGACTGTGAAGTCGAAGCCAAGCAGCTTCCCCACCCAATGGTGTTGAGGTATTGTCGCGAGCCGCTGATCGAAAGGTGTATTTAAGGTCAGTAATGATCGGTCTTGATGGTGAAGCTCCGTCCCCCAAAGGTATGGCTCTCGATGCGAACAGGCGTGCACGAGGCCGATTCAGTTCCACGCTCGAGGCGCGTTAAGCGCGATGGCGAGGTGCCACCGGTCGACTGAAGAAAGCCACAGGGTGGCTGTCCTGGACCATGACGGCCCCGAACCCGTGGGAGGACGCGTCGCACTCGACGATGAAGGGCTTGGAGAAGTCCGGCATGGAGAGAACCGGGGCGGTGGTGACTGCTTCTTTGAGGGCGTCGAAAGCCGCCGAGGCCTCACTAGACCACAGGAAGCCTTCCTTCTTCAGCAGAGCGGTGAGCGGCGCGGCGATGGTGCCGTAATTATGCACGAACTTGCGGTAGTACCCCGCCAAGCCGAGGAAACCACGAACAGCGCGGGCCGAGCGCGGTGTCGGCCAGTCCCGCACCGCCTGTACCTTGGCCGGGTCCATGGCGACGCCTGCCTCGGAGATGGCGTGGCCCAGGTACGCGACGGAGGTACTGGCGAAGGCACACTTGGCGCGCTTGAGGAAGAGTTGTTGGCGCTGGAGCTCGCTGAGGACGGCGCGGATGTGTCGAAGGTGGTCCACCCATGTTCTGCTGTAGATTAGGATGTCATCAAAAAACACAAGAACGAACCGGCGGAGGAACGGGCGGAGGACGTCGTTCATGAGCGCCTGGAACGTCGCCGGCGCGTTGCACAAGCCGAACGGCATGACCAGGAACTCGTAGAGGCCGTCGTGGGTGCGGAAGGCGGTCTTGTGGATGTCGGCTGGCCGCATCCGCACCTGGTGATACCCCGAGCGGAGATCCAGCTTGGTGAAGAAACGCGCCCCATGGAGCTCATCAAGGAGCTCGTCGACGACAGGAATTGGGAAGGCGTCCTTGACCGTAATTGCGTTGAGGGCGCGGTAGTCGACGCAGAAACGCCACGACCCGTCCTGCTTCTTGACGAGAAGGACAGGGGACGAGAACGCGGAGTCGCTGCGGCGGACAATGCCCTGGGCGATCATGGCGGCACACTGCCGCTCCAATTCATCCTTGTGGGCCGCCGGGTAGCGGTAGGGGCGAACGGCTACCGGCTGCACACCGGGTTTGAGGACGATGTTGTGGTCCCGGCCACGCTGTGGAGGTAGGCCAGATGGCTCAGCGAAAACCCCCTGGAAGGAGTCCAACAGCTCGTCGAGGAGGTCCCCTGCGCCGGCTGTGGCTGCGAGAGACGGAGCCGGGCGCGCAGCCACATCAGCACACCAGTCGGTCCTGGCGAGCGAACGACAGGGTGCGTGCCTTGAAGTCCCACGTGATCGGCCCCAGGGTAACCAACCATTGAGTCCCCAGGACGACATCGTAGCCCGCCAGCGGCAATACGAAGAGATCCACCTCGAACGCCTCGCCCTCGACGGAAATGGGCGCCTGGCGTAGGACGCCGGGGCACTGGAGCTTCTCGCCGTTCGCCACAGTGGCGGTAAGGCGCGGCTTGGGCTGGATGGCCAGTTTGCAGCGGCGCGCCGCCTCCTCGGCGATGAAGTTATGAGAGGAGCCAGTGTCAAGGAGGGCGGTCAGCGTCACCGCGCCCACCCGCACCCGGACCTGCATGGTGTCGCAAGGCGGCACCCCGGCCACGGCCTGCAGCGAGAAGACCGGAGCCTCCGTATCGGGGCCGTCCAGGGCGGCGTCTTCGTCGTCGTTGAGCGTGACCCCGGCTATGTAGAAGAGACGGCGGCAGACCCGATTATGGCCGCGGGAGTACTTCTCGTCGCAGTTATAACACAGCCCCAAGCGACGGCGTTCCGCCTGCTCCTCCGTCGAGAGGCGTCTCACCGGCTTGGGCTCCTGGCGGGCACCCCCGGCGGCCAAAGGCGGTGGTGGCGGCGGTGCAGGAAGCGCGAGACGCGGAGCTGGTGCTGGGAGCAGGCCGCGGGGTGCCGGTCGGGCAGGAGCCGGCGCCAAGGCCTGCTTGTCAAGCTCCATCAGCTCCACCTGGCGGGCGAGGCTCATGGCGGCCGCGAGCGACTGCGGATTGTGGATCCGCACCGCATGGCTCAGCGGCGGCAGAAGACCCCCCGTGAAGAGCTGGACGCGCTGCGTTTCCTCCAGGGGCCCGGCGCGGGGTAGGAGCGCCTGGAACCGGTTCTGGTACTCCTCCACGGTGCCTGTGCGCCGGCACTCCGCGAGCTCGAAGAGGGGAGCAGAGCGCAGGGGCGGACCGAAACGCAACTGGAGAAGGTCCTTGAAACGGCTCCACCGAGGAACGCCCTCGTCATCCCGGAGCTGGAGGTACCACAGCTGGGCCACGTCCTCAAGATTATACGAGGCCATCCACACCTTCTCCTCTTCCATGATCCGCTGTTGATGGAAATAAGATTCACGCGGCTGACGAAGATGAGCGGATCGACCGTACCATCATAGCGCGGGAAATCCATCTTCTGGAACCGCGGAGGGCGATCGTTGTGGTGCTGGCCGTCCATGGCCCCGCCCGGACCTGAGGACGATGAGGACTTGTCCTTGTCCTTCTTCAAGGCCGCGACGTCGGACTGCAGGGAGGCGATCGTGCCGGTGAGGCTCGCGATCATCTGGGCGATGTCGGCGTTGGAGGGATCCGCCATGGGAGATGTAGCGGAGGCGGCTGATGGTGGGGAGTCCGATGCGCTGGGAATAGGCGCGACAGAGGTGGGCAGCGTGGCAGCGGAGGATGAATGGGATCGGTGTGACCGTGATACCAGGTTGTCAAGGGCCTCGACGCCCAGGGTAGCCGGCCCTTGGCTACGGAGGTTGTAGCCACGGTCCGTGTCGCCTCCGGTGAGGTTTTGCCCCTCCACCGTGAGTTTGGTTGAGAGAAGAGAGAGTTTAGGGATAATGATCTTTTCTTCATTTGCAAAGTGCCGGATACAATAATAAATAGCCCATGGCTGGAACTGCCATACCCACAATTTAGGAAAGCCAACAAACTAATAGGAAAGCCAAATAACTAATTGCTACTTGCTAAACTTAGCCACTAACGGTGGCCTTCCCAGCCGAGAGCTGGGCGCGCTCTGCAGCGCGGCGCACGTCACGCGCACGGCGTCTCACATACGAGCGCCCCCACATGACATAATAACTGAATCTAGGCAATGCAATTTAGAACTGAACCTATGAAAACCTTACACGAGTCAAATGGAGAATCAGTATACCAAGTTTCCCAGCATATAAGCCATTAAAACCACATTGACATTGTGGATATATCAAGTAGCAGTCAAATAAAGTTGTAACATTTTAACAAATCACTGCACATAGTTATCCATCAGTGCCTATGTAATGTCAGACACGGATCATCCATGGATCACAGTGCCATATTATACATATAAAATGAACATGATGAAATAATTCAGCATGATTATTAGGTAGACACATCGCACATACATAGATAGATACGTCGTAATCCAGCAATTGCTTAGGCTTAAGCAGCCACCCATCGATGATGGAAACAGCCTATGTCACTGAAGAGTGAACACCCTTTCATCATCTGTATCTGAGTAGTAGGTACATTCATCGTCGTCGTTATCTGAGTAGGCACGACCGCCGCAGACTTCCTGCCGTGTTTCTGAGATCATGGCTCGGTTGTACGCCCTGTTGGCGAGGTATTCCTCATCGACCTCGACATAGTGCTTCTCCTCGTACTGCTGGCGGACCTCGTCCTGGAACTTGAAGAAGCTCTCTTGCCCATCGTAGAAGATTCTGGCCGCGTCGTAAAAGAGCTTGGTGGACTCGTCCATCTCCTCATCTGCCGGCGGCGTCAGGTCGGGGTTGCTGCGCCTCAGGGCCTCGAAGTCCCTCGGGGCGCGAAACTCCCGGCCGAGGATCCAGTCGACCTCCTCCTGCGGCAGCCTTGTCATCTTTTTCTCCAGAGCCTTTTCTTCTTTCTCATCCTTTTCTCCAGAGCTCTGGTCAGCTTCCGCAGCCGCAGCCGTCGCTGCCTCCACCTTCCTCTCGGGGTTGCACGGCTTCAGCAGATGATCCTCCGAAGCAGACACTTCTCCCTCCGCCGTCGTACCTCCGGTGATGCAACGCTTCAACGGACCCTCTTCGCCGGCCATCAATGATATGATGGACCGCACCTCGCCTCGCTTCACGAAGCAGACACTTCTCCCTCCGTCGTCGTACATCCGATGAAGCAACGCTTCAACGGACCCTCTTCGCCGGCCATCAATGATATGATGAACCGTAGCCGTAGCCGTAGCCGGCTTCAGCAGATGATCCTCCGAAGCAGACACTTCTTCCTCCGCCGTCGTACATCCGACGATGCAACGCTTCAACGGACCCTCTTCGCCGGCCATCAATGATATGATGGATCGCACCTCGCCTCGCCTCACGACGTCGATCGCGAGAATAAGATGTTTATACGACGGCGGATTGGAGCCCTGGCTGAGCCGCTGTTGATACTCTTGATAGATGTGGAGGCGGAGGCGAGAGCTTCCGCCTGTATCATCGTGGGCTGAATTGGACTACGGGCCTACTTCGTGGACTGTATTACTAGCGTGCAGCACATCTGTTTCGAAATCTCCACTCAAAAAAAAAAACATCTGTTTCGAAATCTTCTTCTTTTTTCCCCCAACCGCGCATATATACGTACACGTGCAACTGTGTTTTAGAATTTTTAGTCAAAATTAGTTACACATTTGTGCATAGGAAAATTCTTATGTAGTTACGTGGGATTTGAAAACAGTCATGTAACATTTCTTTTAGAACAACATGGTACATATTTCATTAAAAAGAGAAAACATTATAACAACGACTGTTGGAAAGAAAAAGAAAACAGAAGTGCAAGCGACAACTACTGCATAACATTCACAAAATGAACAATGAACTTTGAAATGGAAAAGAAAGGAATCGGCTCATGATCATTAATAGAGCTAAAAATAGGGAATATTGCAACCACATCAAGACCAATGTGTCCTTTCCCAACATCTCAATTGTTGGATACATACACCTTAGCACGCTTTAGTGTTCTTTTTCAAAATTCCACCATGAAGTTGACCATTCCACATGCCTCTCACATGGCCTTCAGCATGGCTCCAGGATCAAAGTGCTATATGATGGATTGACAATCATTTAATTCCATAGATCACATTAGTTTTGATTTTAGGAGAACAAAACTAGAAATAACGTGTCTAAATTCGTAGCTACAGTGGCCTCTTTTTGAGATGGGGATGTTTTTTTTAAATGAAGGAGCATAACTTATTTATTAAACTTCTCAACGACTAAACAGAGTCGGTGTCAAATGACATAATTCTATTGAACAAAGCGGATTTGGCACAATTTGCCCAATTATACCAAATAGGAGAATCACGTCATCTGTTTTAGAGCCTGCTTAGTTGCTGATCATAAAATGCCACGCCACAATTGTGGCCGCACCGTAAAAATCTTAGCTCTATGAATAGGTGTATGCAATCACAATTCACAGCAAACATCAGTGATAACAAGCTAGATTCCCGTCACACTTTGCGGCAACGATTTTCTACACCTCAACGACACTGGCACCATACCTAGAGGTGCATGGTGGGGTAGTATAACTATATACTTCATCTGTCCCAGAATAAATACATATCTTGTTTTTCGAAGAGTCAACCGATTCCAAGTTTGACTAGATTTATAGAAAATATTATTAACATTTATATCACTAAATAATTTTACTATGAAAGTATATGGTGTGATTAATCTAATAATATTTATTTAATATCATAAATATTAGTAATCTTTTGTATATATTTGGTCAAACTTAGGATTTATTGACTCCTCAAGATATGAAATGAGCGCCTGTTTTGGGACGGAAGGTGTAGTTTATAACATATTTTACTTAGAAAAAAGGAGAGAGGAAGATAAAAATCAACTAGTGTAAAGAGCTAAGCTCGCATATATTTTCTAATAATCCACATGATCATATTTACACGATCCTCTATACTCCCTCCGTCCCATATATTGAGTCGTTCTGGGAAGTGGCGCTTGTACCAAGGACATGGGTAAAAGACCTGCATACCCCTAGTATCTAATGATTCCATCGGATAAAAGAAGTGTGCTAGTACAACCAACAACAGGTCAAGTAAATGTGCATGCATTCTCCACCACCACACGAACTCTTGAAACCCCACTGCCCACAGTGCATCAAGGCCATCCACTATAGAATATTTATCATAAAAAATGAACCAACTTATGAAAACATCTCATTCACTCGTCTGGAAAACATATTACATCCAAATCATAGCGCCAAAACAAAAAGCGCTCCTTTTTTACACACACAAGGCAAAACCAAAAGTTTAAACCAGCAGGCGCCATTTTCACTTCTCTGGATATAAATCCACTGCCCAGGGCATCCCTTTCAACCAGTCCACATTCCACTTGAACCATTCTGTCTCCATGGCCATAGACTTGAATGCAACACCAGAGGAGGAAGGAGAACAGGTGCCAAATCTGAACAAGGCACCAGGCGAACAAGATGTCTATGATTCCTTCCAAGTAGCAGTTCAGGTAGATGAACATCATGAAGCTCAAACTTTACCTCGTGTCTCCCTTGAAGGTACAGGTCTGGCTGATGAACAAGTTGGAGGGGCCAACCATAGAGGGCACCACTTCGATTTCAATCATGGTCAAACTGAGGAACAACAAAATGATGTTTAAGGTAAGCACATCTGGTTCTCTCCCAAATTAAGTTTGCACTTGTTCTAATTTTCTCTCTGATTCCTCTACTAAAATGAGTGTGCTTCGATTTTTTCCCTCATTTCTCTATCTCCTAAATTGAGTGCAGCAAGGTAATTTTATGACTTGTTGGATTAGAATTGTGTGTAGCAAAGGTTTCATGCTGTTGAAAAAGGTGAAAAAAGTTTAATCTTGTATGACTATGAACTGTTCTCATGTCCTAATTCGAGGCACTTAAAAGAAACATTAAGGTTGCACTTCAAAAAAAATTGATGAGCATGGCAGCAAAGGTAGCAAATAAAAGTAATTTTTTGTACCATGTCAACAAATATTGCACTGCTAAATCGATTCATGTCCATTATTAGTCCATCCATGTGAACCTAATTAATACTATTCCTTTCTCTATCATAATTCAAGTAGAGGTCATGATTTTTTACTTTTTACTCACCTAAAACCAGCAGATAGGTCAATATTTTTTATTAGTACGGTCCAATTCATAGGGGATGATAACTCACAGGTGCACTTCAAATTGATAATAGCATGTGACGATGTTGGCTACGCATTTGATTTAAATGATACGCATGAAGGGGCACAAGACAACCTGCATGCGAGTGAGTATTTTCATCAGTACCAAGGCATGTCAAAATGTATCAAAATCTATGTATTGACAATACGCACACATGATCAAATTTTTTTGGTAGGCAATGACGACATTCACTTACCGGATGAACAAGACGCCATGGAGTTTGGTGTGTACACAGATGGTTTTGACGTCACATTTGATGAAGATGAGTTGCCCGACTCAGATGACGAACAAGATCAGAAAACCCAGCAAGAAGTAGCATCAAATACAGCCAAGAATTTGATACAAAAACAAAGGCAAGACATATATGAAGATTTACTTTGGCATAGCAGTAATGGAAAATTAAAAAGAAGCAACACAACACTTATTGCTACAAAGTATGGTGTCCATGTGCGTACAGTACAACGGGTATGGTAGAGAGCTAAAAATGCAAGGCACAAGGTGTACCAATAGATGTCGAATCAAAGAAACCTAAGAATGACGGTCGTAAAAAAAATTGAAGTGGATCTCTCAAGGGTCGTTGATATTCCCTTAAACAGAAGGGGTACTATAAGGTCACTAGCCAGTGCCCTCGATGTCAACAAAAGCACTTTACACAGGTGGTTCAAAGTTGGAATGCTACGATGACATAGCAGCTCACTGAAGCCATATTTAAAGGAAGAAAACAAGAAGGCAAGACTACAGTGGTGTCTCTCTATGCTAGATAAATGTACTCTGCCACATGATCCAAAGTTCGTTGAAATGGAAGATATTATCCACTCAAATGAGAAGTGGTTCAATGGGACCAAGAAGAATAAGACTATGTACATGCACCTAGATGAAGATGACCCGCACATGACAGTGCAAAATAAGAATGCCATTCACAAAGTTATGTTTTATTCAAGTGTTGCAAAGCCTAGGTTTGATGATGAAGGTAGATGCTATTTTAATGGCAAGCTAGGCATTTGGCCTTTTGTCCGAGAGGTACAAATCTTTGTCATTTTTTTACTTTGGGCATGTAAAATAATTTTTGATGTTGCATTAATTGTCATCTAAATTTTAGGAACCTGCACAAAGAAGTGGCAACAAGCCAAGGGGCACTCCAATCACAAAGACAATGAAGGTAGACAGACGCACAATGAGATCTTACATGATCACCTACCTGCTACCAGCTATAAAAGCCCATTGGCCTTGAGAAGATAGACACAAGACAATATGGATTCAATAGGACAACACGCCTTCGCATGTACCAGCAGATGATGCGGAAATTGCTGCTGTAGTCGCCAATACAGGCCTTGATATACGCCTTTTGAACCAGCCTGCTAATTCACCTGATTTGAATTGCCTCGACCTTGGTTTCTTCAGTTCTCTCTAGTCGTTAACGGATAGAATCTCATCTAGAAATATGGATGACCTCATTGGAATGTGACCACAGAATATGAAAACTACAACCCAGTCATTCTAAATCGGGTGTTACTGACACTCCAAAGCTGCATGATTGAAGTTATGAAAACAATGGAGGGAACAAGTACAAGATCCCTCACATGAATAAGGAGAGGCTAGATGCACAAGGCATGCTTCCTAAAGCTCTTAGTTGTGATAGGTAGCTAGTTGAAAGGGCTTTAGAATTGTTGAGCAATTAATGGGGGATTTCATGCAAAGTAGCAGCAAGGATGCTTTTGTGTTGGTCAACAAGTAATGCTGATGCAAACTAGCAGCAATGATGCTTTTGTGTTGGTCAGCAAGTGTAAGGGACCGTGACGCCTAAGAGGGGGGGGTAAATTAGGCAACTTAAACTTCTACTTCTAACTAAGGCCTCTAATTTCACCTAGTCAAAACCTATGCAAAAGATAAACTATCTAAATGTGCAACTACGATTTTACTAGTGTGTTGCTATCTCTACCGCAAAAAGAAGTTATGCAACCTAGGTTCCAAACCTATCAGCTAGCATATCACTAAGCTAGGAAAGTAAAGCACAAACCAAGATTGCAATGAAAATACGGAAGCTAAAGAGTAAGGTAGAGATATGCAAACTCCCGTCGATGACTCCGGTATTTTTATCGAGGTATGGAGAAGCGCGCA